TAATATAATATAATATAATATAATAATAGTTAAGCACAGTTAAGAAAGGAAAGTCAGGCCTAGTCTTATTACTGATGTATTACTTTAAGATAGATAGTTTAATAGCTTATGTACATAATTTTAAATAGTCATGGTATGTAGTTTTGTTTTGGCATCAATGAATTGAATTAACACAAGGAAAAATAGCAAACTAGATATTAAAAAAATACCACTATAGAAGACCCAGAGGATCAGAGCAAGAGGGAAGGAGAACAACAACCTAGTCTTATTACTGATGTATTACTTTAAGATAGATAGTTTAATAGCTTATGTACATAATTTTAAATAGTCATGGTATGTAGTTTTGTTTTGGCATCAATGAATTGAATTAACACAAGGAAAAATAGCAAACTAGATATTAAAAAAATACCACTATAGAAGACCCAGAGGATCAGAGCAAGAGGGAAGGAGAACAACAATATTAAGGAGAATACTTAGATTAAATTTAAGGCAATATTGGATTTGACCATTCCCTAACTGTAGTGTACCAGAGGGTACCATCTATGAAAATCCATCCTAAGCCACAGAGAAAGAGAATCACACATACTCTAATATTGTCCCTTCTGTATTACATACAGTAGAGGACCTTCCATATGGTACTCAGACTAACATCAGCGTGGAAAAAGGACAGAGGTACTTGCTTCCATCTTCCCTGCCACAATCACAAAAATTGAATAATAACACACCTTTACTGCAAAACTACTCTGTGACCCTAGAGCCTTTTTGTGCCAACTGGCAGAGGGTACACACAGACTGCATGTTTTTATTGGGATCCCCTAGGTCAGAAATCTGCACAATATTTACTGATATGGTGGCATGTGAGGTCTATACTGAGAGGCAGTAGACCACTGGTAAACAAAATCATTGTGAAATGTATGTTGATAATATTTAAGGAATTATGCATCTATGCTAACAATTGTATTCTTAAAAGATAGTCACCCGGAGGTAACATACCTCAGAAATGTTTCTTTCAGGCAGTAGGTAACTAATGCCTATCTCCCTATGGTCATTTATGTAGTGTATGCCTCACAGATCTACTCACATATTGAGTCAGGTGCATGTTAAGATATTTCACTCTATATAAGAGAGGAAATCTACAGAAAGAAAAACAGCTGTTTTTCTGTTTATGGTCCTGTTTAGGAATAATGATAAACGATTTGTCTGGCATACTATGGAGTGCAAAGAGAAACCCTCAGAATTCTTCACTCAGGAGGCAAACAGTGTGTCTCTCTCATGAAAGAAGGATCACAAAAATTACCTCATGGCATAAATGGCCTCACCCAGATTGCACTGAAGACAATGGAGATACTCTCATTGGCTTCAACAATCTTTTGGGTCAGATCTAATAGGAATTACCCAAATATCACAATCAATCTTTAAAAATAGAAGTGTTAGGGATAAAAATGACTATAAATATGGAAACTTATGCATTTCCTATGTTTCTTCTAAGACATATCTCTTTATCTTATTGCATGTAATACAATACCAAATTGAAGAAAACTATGTTATTCTGTTTTTCACATCAAATGCATACAAGTTTCTTTTTGACTGGCTATGTTAGAATGAGCCTATTGTCTTGGTAGATAGAAAAACCTCTTTCTTCTGACTTGAATGAACATGATATATAAGTCATTGAGAAAGAATGAATATATCATATCTAAATGGCACATTTTTAAAGTCACATTTCTGGGTATTACCAAACCCTACAAGACTACAATTCTTAGACTCATAGGATTAGAAGAACCATAACAGGCATCTAGTCTAACCCTCATGCCAAGATGTAGGATTTGTTTTATCTGAACCATCCAAGATAGATGGCTACCCAGCCTCTTCCAAATTATGAATGAAGCACTCTGTACTTACAAATGTTTTGAAGACAAATCAGTTCAGCAGACAGAGAATTCTGAAAGACCTCCTGAAACTACTTTCCACATTGGATCAGATATTAGACAGTGACACAGGGACCTATGCATGGTTCTGCCATCAATATCCCAGAGGCTATGTCTTGGAAGAACAGACTTATTTTGGAAGAAGCCTTATATGCAGGCTTATTTTGGAAGAAGCTTTTCCGGAAGAGATCTTCCAGAAAAACTTTTTTCGAAAGAGGGTCCACACAACAAAAGGGCATTGAAGAAGGAATCTGCTTTTTCAAAAGATAGCGTCCACATTGACTGGACGCTATCTCACACTTAAGTTGTGATTACTATGGACAGATTGGCCACCAGGGAACCTGTGCTTTTTCCAGGAGGCCTCTTCTTTCAAAAAACTATTCACAAAAACCTCTTGCACAATAGGGATCTGAGGAGTAAATGCAAATGAGAGTGTGATATATGTAAATGAGTGCTCCATTTGCATTTCCTCTTGCAGAAGAGGATTGTAGTATAGACATAGCCTCGGTGTCCTGACACCTTAGCCCCAGAGTAATACACAAACCACTCTGCCCAACTCACCTTCAGGCCTCATATGGTAAGTGGACTGAGAGCTCACTCACCAGATTGGGCCCCTCTTACACATGAGGAGGAGTAGGAGCAGAAGACATGAATGTAGCCCCTGGTCTAATTTAATGCACCCCTAAATTATTCTAATGTATGCCAGGCTTGAAACAGAAATAGCCTTAGACTTAGGGGAATGACTACTATGCAGCTTTCTTTCTCTCAGCCTCCATATCAGTGGTTATAGAGATTTTTGTGGTTATAGTATTAACTTTCTTATTATTAACATTATTAAACATAACAAAAATATAATTAGGTGAACCAAATCTCAGGTGAAGTTCATGTAATTAAAACTGTTTGACCTGGGAAAAGTCCCACATGAAATGTTTGATAGAATTTAAGTTTGTAGTAGGAAAGCTTTACATTATCGGGTTATTTATATTTAATTAAGGAAAGCTAAGATGATCACTTCTATCTCTCAAATATAGGAAAGTGATTTGCAGATGGGGAATTATAATACAGTTATATATAAATATACTTGTGCTGATATTAACAGTCTCTTACTACTACATTTCTGCATTATTTCACTATTTAAAAGAGCTCACCAAACACCTTCAGTACAAGTGTTCAATTACAATGAAACTCTGACTAAAATAACTTAATATTTCACCCGTATAATTAGTACAGCATCCCACAACTTTTGTAATAAAGCTCTATCTCCCCTCGAATAGAGACAGACAAAACAAATATTGTACTTTCAAAGTCACTGGAATTTCAGCAAGGTGTTCCCAATGCTAAGATGCTGAAAAAATAAAGCCAGTACATAGTGACATGACTGAAAAGCACACAGGAAAGCCAGGAACATGTTAGCAACTTAACATATGCACAGTATGTAGCATAAGCACATCAATAAAATGTCAGCTTAAACTGTGCATATATATGCAAGCAATAAACACTCCAGGCATGCTAAAAATTACCTGAATTATATGAATATAAGCCTTTATCTGCAAAACAAATATTAAAATGAAGTGATGTCAGGAAAAAATACATGAAATCTATACATGTAACAGGGATTCTTAGTACCTGTGAATTTTCAATCACTTTTCTGTTTAGAATGGAAAAGTTATTGCTGATCATTCTAATTCTTAAAAATTTCCATAAAAGAATGTATTTCAAAGCAAATTAAATACCAAAGTAAACCACAGTAATAGTAGAAATTAAACCACAACGATGCTACTTTGGTCACCAACAGAAAGTCAGCTTCTATTCCCAGTACTCATACAATGTTGGCAAAGATATTCCAGTTGTTGCCAATTCTAAGCTATAACTTTGAATAAATGTTTACTTTTTAATGGTGACAAGTCTGTTCAAATAATATGCAGTGATGTGAATTTTAAGAGAACAGAATAATAAATTGCTATCCTGGCCTTAAGTGATTAGGCACTGCTTTTGAACTGAATGGGTCTCCAGCAGAATATTATCAGCAGGATTAACTTGGTGGCAATTCTGCATGCTATTATGGCAGGAATGGGGAACCCTTTTTGTGTAGGTTGACCCACAAAAAATCAGTCTGGGGCCACGCACAAGTGAGAGGCGAGAAAAAAATTCTCACTGTGGCCCCTGACTGAGAAAGAGAAAGACACTCCCAACATTCCCCTCACACACCAGAGCCTAACAGGCTCAGCCTAGTAGATTTTGCGTGCTCCAGCTTCCCGGGTGGCAGCAGGGGGGCTGTAGCATCACGAGCTCCCTCCCCAATACTGGGGTGGAGCTTGAGCCTCAGAGGCTGAATCCAGGCAAGCTGAAGGCCGCATCCAGCCTCCGGGCCTGAGGTTCCCTACCCCTGTATTATGCGGTGGTACCTAAAAGTCCTCTTCATGATTTTCCACACCAAAAATATAAATCTACTCCTCCTTCCACCAACTCATTAAATTGAATTCTGCAAGCATTTACACATATGGATAACTCCATTCCTCTCAATAGCCTCACAGAGTTTGAGACTATTGAGATGAACATAGTTATTAATGCAGGAAAAAGCTTGCAGAATTTAGGTTAGTGTTTGTATTCCTCCTATGCTTCCTCACCTAACAGTTTAGCAGATAAAACTTCTGTTATGTTTGAGTGACTTTTTAAATATATTTTGTCTCTTTTATAGGTCTCAAGCTCCTATGCAGCTGGACATATTTTCCAAAATTATGATTTTGGGGAACAAAATTCATTATTTGAACATTTCTGAAAAATTGAAAAGCCACTTGCAAAATTGTAATGCTACCATAGGGGGTATTGATATCACTGTATCCACAAGACAATGAGAAAAGTGTTGGAAGCCAGGAAGTCTTGAGTTCTATTTTGCCATTAAGGGGTTCTAATAATATTTTGCATGGATAACTGTTTACTAATATTATTTAAGCTTTGCAACACCCTTATAATTGTCCCCATATTAAAGATGAGGAAATTGAAATTAAGTAAGGATGTGATCTGTCCAAGGTCACCCAGCATGTCATTGTCAGAATCTAGATCAGAACCCAAGGCTCTAGAGAGGTAGACTTATCAGTAATCTGCTAGATCTGTGTGTCCCCAAAAGCAAGTCACATAAGGTACGTCTACGCTACAATACTATTTCAAAATAACTAGAGCTATTCTGAAATAACTTAGTCCACATCTACACAGCAGGCAGTTATTTTGAAATAGTGTCAAAATACTGTCAAGGTGGAGGACTTCTTATTCCGTCCTCTGTAACCCTCACTGTATGAGGAATAAGGGAAGTCAGAGGAAGAGTGCTCTATTTCAAAACAAGTGCTGGATAGAAACTATCTATGGGTATGTCTACACTACAACGTTAATTCGAACTAACTTAGTTCGAATTAGTTAATTCGAACTAAGCTAATTCGAACTAACGGATCCAGACTAAAAAACTAGTTCGAATTAGCTTTTTGCTAATTCGAACTAGCATGTCCACATTAAGTGGACCCTGAACCGGGCTTAAGGATGGCTGGAAGCAGTGCCGGCAGGGCATCAGAGGAGGACTTAGAGCGTGGAGATGCTGTCTCAGGCTAGCCAAGGGCTGTGCTTAAAGGGTCCCGACCCCCACCCCGGACAGACAGTTCTCAGGGGTGCCCCGCTTGCAAAGCAGTCCTGGCTTGGATTGCCCGGACTACCCACACTGGGCACATCACAGCACTCAGCCAACAGCCCGGCTGCACTTGCCGCAGTCTGCCATCTGGGGAGAGGGGGCAATTGGGAGGCTGCAGGAGAGCTTCCACCCCCAGAAGCCCACAGAGCCAGCCCAGTCCTCCCC